TAAATTTTCGACAAAAAGCACGGGTTATTATGCTGTGAACTGAATGAATCAAATCGTACCCCATACGCATACACTATCTTCCAGGCATACAGAAAAACATTCAATTTTATTTATTTATTATTATTATTTTTTCAGTTTTCGATGTTTCTCAGTCCCTCCGACTTCAAAATTGTAAAAATGTTGGAAAAATCGAACACCGTACTTTCCCTCTGTTATTTATAACATCAAAAAAGTAAAAATAATTATAACAATTAAAATTAATGTATCATTATTGATTGAAAGCCATTGGGGATTTGTTTAGTAGAGTAATTTTTACAAATAAGCATCACGAAAGGCAGTCTGAAATCTCTAAAATTATGCCACAAAAATTAGCATTGAAGCATTGTTTTGATTTCACTTAAGGACTTGCCATGAAACAACTAATGTAATTAAACACGAAATAAGACAATTTAACTTACTTATTCCACTCATTTTTTCAAAATTTAATCGCTTTCAAAAAACTTTGAACCGCCAACAATCGCTTTGAATAAACAACTCGTTTCAACAATTCTCAAAATTGTATTGTTAAGAGTTATTGTGAATATTAGGGCGCCTCTAGTGGGCTAAATAGAAGCTGGCATTTTGGTTGGAATGCCCATCATAGCGGGGAGGATAGGAGATGACGTTTACGGGTTTTATGACGAAAGGTCTCTGCCGACTCATACTGTGCTCTTATCTGACTGTATATTTTCAATTTAAACAAACGTTATTTTGTTTATGACGTGTCTAGTTTCGTTTGAGAACCCGTAATGTAGCGTTACAACAGTTAATATATCAATGGAAAACCATGCACCACATGATTAGATAAATGCTGGACACCTTGCGAAAACTATTTTATATTAAAAATTTATTTATTATTTATAATTATCTCCACAACTACTTTTGCTTAAATTTTCTCAGTAAAAATAGAATCCGAATTGCTTCCGTACTTTTTTACATCGCCACGTGTTTTATTGGGTACGGGATGTAAATTTAAAAAAACCAAATACGTACACGTTTAGTAAATAAGAGTGAATAAACATTTGAGAGAATAGAAAATAGCAATTATTTGTTTAAGTTGACTACGTATTCTATTCGAAGTGAATTTAAATAAATAAATGGCCAAGACAACGCACTTGACACAACTAGCATGTGATCGTAGGATTAGTAATAAATTCAGGAGCCGTATTTTGATCATCGTCTCTCGTCTCTGAGAGACAGTGTCGAGTCTCAAACTGGTCTCTGATTAGATAATGATTTGTTTATGTCTCCAGAGATCATCGTGACTCTCCAAACGCTTTTCTTTACTTATTGCAAGAGGAATACTTCCTGCAATAAATAAAAAAATCCCTTGATTGGACTCATATTGCAATCAACGCATTTCCAGCTGTTAAATACAATGAGGAATCATTTGTAAATAGAAAGGAAATTTAATAAACTATTCCAATCTGAGTAGAATACTTCAAAATCAGTGTATAATCATCTTTTTGGATCCTGGGATACACTTTCATTTAGCAAAGATTTCCAACCTCATTTAATAGGCCATCTTCAGGCTGTAATTTTATTGGAACATCTTAACCGTTAAATATTGTTCTAAATACAATTGAAGAATAACAATTTTTGAAATATCTGAATATAAAGCAAAAACAACTAAAAATTAATATATATAACGAGTAACAGTACTTTGGTCTTCCAACAAACTAATATTTTATTAAATGCACTTCCACGCCGCTGGTAAACCGTCCGCATTTTTTGCTTTAATTGCAATTGCTTTAACCTTTCAACATGCTTTTGTATATTTCAAGTTTTTCAGCATTCTGTGTTAATGTGGGAGAGTGGCGTGCGATGATATTTGATGAGAGGGATGATGTGTTTCCATAAAAATTATAAAGTAACCTAATCACTGGAAGCATTATACAAAATTTTAGTATGTAGCATCCACGAGCTAAACCACATAAATCAGGTGCTCTGTAATGCGCGAATGAGTAAAATAATCTGGCTGCTTTACACAATTCAAATATTTTGTCTGTAGAACCTGTCTCGTGTTCGACAATACAGCGCTTTCATTGGGAATATGTGTATACGAATTTATATTCAAATATACAATAGCAAACTTATCATTGTCTTTCACATGCATAGAAATTTGTAATAAAATAGATTATGTGGTTATAATAAAGTACTATAATTTGCGACTTGAATTATTTAGTAAGTAAAGAAAAATTAATGATTAAAGTTGCCATGTGTTGAAGTGAACCACTATATAGTTGGTGTTCAAGTTGCAAATCAATTGCCGGCACGGTTTCATGCGTACTAAAAATACTATATATTAGAGAATACAAAGGGAACGTCGCTTCCACAGCTTCCATTGACTGCGTACCACTGGTGTAAATACTAAATAATGTTAGTCTCTTTTCATTTTATCACCAAGCCCTCAGTCTGCGCCATTCAGGAGAGTACCGTGTTATCAGATGCCATTCTTACGTTACATTGATGTTCTTTGAATCAAAGTTTCAAGTTTTTTTGTAGTGACACCGAAGTAATCCTTGTCTATTCGCAACTGCATTTTTTCATATCGTATCCTGTACACACCTGCCATTTCTTTTGTTTCTAGTTTATTCTTATCGTTTCTTAATCTTCGATACATAGTTGTGGCTTTTTTATAATCATATTGGACCCTTTATGTTTTACGATTTATTTCGTGATGTTAGTTATACCTCTGTTAAAATAAACTTCATGATTCCACTTGTTTTTTTAGATTTGTATCCTCAAACCGTCTAATCAGACCTTCTATCTAGTTAGTTTCATATCCTAGTGTGGTGGCTGTTTGTTTAATTCTGTTCAGCTCGTTCACTCTGTCTATTATATTCTCTCAATATAAAAAAGCTCTTTTGATAAGTGCCTGGAATGCCGCAACCTGGTATATAAAAATCATTCGAATTGTAAGGGATGTATAATGAGCTGTGTGTTGGATTGATGTATACACTTGTGTTTATCCTTACATTTTTAAACTCTACATTTATATCTAAAATATGCAGTTGTAGCAAGCTTTTGTGTTCTACTTTCAATTTCAGCCCATCTTTGTTACTGTTAATTATGCAAATTTAGAGAAAAAATTTAATCGTTTAGAAATGGTTGTAGTCCAACATTTTTTGTTTATATCAAATTTTTCTTTCTTACTGCTGTTACTTTTTCTTCCTAATTTTTCTGTCAATCTATCATTATTTCCATGAACTTCAATTTCCCTTCTAAATTTTCTTTTATGTTCGACTTTGCCACATTTATGGCACTTTATATTTGATTATTCTTTTGCTCTATGATCACTGAACATATAGATTGCACATAACCACTTTACACTAGAATACTCCACTGGGAACCTGCATCCTCTATTGTGCACGTAATTGGGAATTTTTTTTTCTTCTGTATAGTAACATACTTTTACCGGTCTGTATCTTGCTATTCGGCATAAAAACTCTCAATATAGGCTAGTATGCTATTCACGCCAAGTAACATTAATTAGTAGTTAAAACTGAAAGCCTTTTGCACCTTCATGCAGCATGTCTCTAATGTATATCCCTCCATCAATTTTACGTGGGAAAAAGAAAGTAGTGTGGCTATAACTTTCTTGGATCTATGCGTACGTAGAACCTCGGAAACATTGATTTTTTCAGTTTAACATAAGTTTAACATGCTACCGTACATCATCCCGGCAAATGCATTCCAACCTGCACGTTATGTGGATGCCGCCATAGCCGCCTACTAAGAAGAAGTTTTTGTTGCCATCAACACAAGATCTCATAAACAGTGTGTAAAGTAGTGACCTTTCAGCGGAGTGGGGACAAAAGAGGTGCGACCTTGTCAATTGGACCCACGTGCGGTCGGGTAATACCACTTGTAAAGTATTGACTTGTAAACAAGTGTAAACAAAGGAAGCGCCGGCTTTGTTAATTGGACCCACCTGCAGTCAGACGGTAATGGTAAGCAAACGAACGTAAACAAGTGGCCGACGTTTGTGTAAGCTTCACTCTCGTCGGATGACAGCGGACCCATGTGTAAGCTGTTCGGGCATAAAAAAGGGTTGTGATTGGTCGAAAGTTCCCGTTCCAAAATCCCTTAAATTGCGGGGCGAACGAGAGTCAAGGAGAGAAGGGCAAGAGACTGATACACCGTTGTCTCAGGCACTTGGGAAGCCCGCTGAGCATAAAGAGAGAGTGTTCTCCTCTGTTGATCTTCTCAGAGACGGGTTAGTGCTGAGACCGGACCGACCGTGCAGTTGAGCCGACTCCACAAGCTGACTGAGGTCTCTCCAAAGATTATTAGTTCCCAGATGCCAACCTAGCACATGAATTCACCACGCATGGTCATCTTGTACATACAGTCGACCCCCCCTATAAGATATAGATACGTTCCAATTTATTAGGAATCCGATTTCTTACAAGTTGTTCCAATCACAGCCCGACACGTGTTAAGTTTACAGACTACGGCTGTTTGAAAGATTTTCTTCCATAAAATTAATCGATTCTACACTAATCCGACTCAACAGTTCCAAAATATGTATATTTTTTTGTAGTTTTATAGGAATCGTAATTATAGGGACCGTAATTATAGGGGGGGTCGACTGTATACTATATTTTCTAACTTGTACTTTCTACTACTGTAAATAAACTGTAAATATATTCAATTTAAGTGTGGAGGTGTGCTTTCCAACGAACCTGATTCATTACATCGAGTCGTGAAACACAAGAAAACAACTCAACGAAACGGAGTTGGGAAGGAACGGCAATAAGATCTTCACTGGCGCAGTCAGCAGGATAGTCTTGCAACTCTTCAGGAGATTCCCGCAAGAAGACAGGGAAGTACTGAGCCCACATTCAAGGACTTAAGAAGAAAGAAAACAGCGCAGGACACTTACGAAAGGAAGAGCAGCCGGAAATCGAGGCGGAACACAGCTATTGGTAAGTTGTTCTTAATTATTCATATTCAGAATGCCGGGACGCAGAAGGACTCAAGGGTCAAAAAAGGGGATGTCGTGTTCCGAGGATCTGGGAGGTAGGACTGGTTTTAGTCAATCTCAGGAAATGGATACAGAGTCGGAAAGGGAAATCTTAGAGGTCGAGGTCATGGATAACTGGAATAAAATAGAGGGACAGATAGAGTCAGACGATGTAGAGAAATTATGCCTACAAATTAGGCTAGCTGAAATAGAATCTAAAAACAAGGAAATGGACGTTAGAAAAAGTGAAATTGAAATGGAAATTAGAAAAAGCGAAATAGATTTAGAAAGAGATCGGTTACGAAATGACTCTAGGGCTAGTAGTAACTGTGAGCTGGGGGGTAACTTGGATAGTCTAGCGAGGAAAATCAGATGGGCTCTACCCAAAATGTCGGACAAGGAGGCAGAAGTACCTTCATGGTTCCGTGCTGTGGAAGTTGTATTACAAACATACAACGTACCAGAAGAGCTTCAGGGACAGTTAGTTTTAACGGTATTATCCGAGAAATGCAAAACAGCTTTAAGTAGACTCACGGCAAATGAAATCAGAGACTACGAAACTTTAAAACAATTCGTGCTGGACGAATTAAAGTTGTCTGCTGCAGAGTATCTTAAGGAGTTCACTTCCTCCGAAAAGGGAAGTAGGGAAACGTGGCCCCAATTCGCGGCTAGGATGGAAGACCTTTATCGGTATTATTTGAATAGTAGAGGCGTAGATTCCTTCGAAAGATTGAAGTTAGTTGTTTCGGATCATCTTAAGACTAAGCTAGATGCCGACACTAGGTGTTACGTTTTATTGCAAGAGGGTAAGGGTTGGTTCCCACCGGAAGAGATAGCCAGATACGCTGGGAAGCACGTGGAGGCTGTAGGAAAGGGAGATTTTAGATGTAAATCTGAGAGAGGTAGAAAAGTACCGTGCCACGACTGGTATAGGGAAGCGAGGACCGCCGAGAAACCGGTAGAGGCGACCGCGAACAATAGAGAAGAGAGGGAGTCTAAGATCAAATGTTTCACATGTGGCTTACTGGGACATTTTAGCAGAAATTGCCCTCGGAGGCATACTAAGGAAGAAAAATCGAAATCCAAGGCAACACGAGAAGTTAAAGTAGACGAAATTGTAAGACCCAGCAACCAGCTAATCGCCAGAGTGAACATTGATGAGGACACAATCAGTGGGAACATACCTGCTAGCGCTAGCAGAAACGTTGAGCTTGCTTGTCAGGATCGGCAGTTTTCTGCGATAGTGGATACAGGAGCAGAAATAACGGTAATCAGGAAGGCTCTGATACCCGATCACATGTCTCGTGCTGCGGGAAAGATAAGACTGATCGGTGCGTTCGGACAACAGGTAACTGCGGCCTTGGTTACCATTCCTGTCAGTTTGGAAAGACGGCCGGACAGAAAGGAAGCAGATTACACCCCAGTTCTAATAACTTGCGCCCTAACTGATGAGCTTAATGGTACCACGGATGCATTAATTTCCACAGCCGATTATTGCTCTTTGGAGGAGGCTAAGCGGGCTGAGACGAATGAACGGTTACAGTCGGTCGTGAATGAGATCACTATAGAGCGCGATGCAAGCCCGATGGCTGACGGTGAAGACAGTATCGAGAGTTCAGACGTAAGCGACAAAAGCAAACGATCACTCCATGAGGCGCAGGTTAGGGATGAGACCCTCAAGGATAGTTGGGATTTAGCCAAACAAGGAAAGAACGGGTACACCATAGACGGTGGTCTTTTGTATCATATGGATCAGTGGTATGGGAGGAGAATAAAGCAGGTAGTTCTACCACTGGAACGTAGGGTGCAGGTACTAAAGTTGGCCCATCAGTCCCCTTGGGGAGGACATTTAGGAAGTCGCAAGACCACTAACAGAATCAGAGAGGCATTCTTCTGGCCGAGTTTGGCGACAGATGTGAAGAGATATTACCAAGCTTGCCATAGATGCCAGGTACGCGCTCCCTATCAGAAGAATGATCGTACACCAATTAGTCCCCTCACTAGGCCGGATAGAGCGTTTCAGGTGGTGAATCTGGACGTAATTGGTCCGATCGACCCACCGTCTGCTAGAGGACACAAGTATGCCCTTTGCCTCATAGATTTATGCACGAGGTGGCCGGAAGTAGAATGCATTCGTTCTTTGCAGCCAAGACAACATGTAACGCATTATTACAGGTATTTTCCCAAACTGGATTCCCCGACTTGGTGTGTTGTGACCAGGGCACTAACTTCACGGCACAACTCACCCAGGAAATGCTCAGACGTATGGGCGTGTCTATCCGATCTTCTACTCCCGATCATCCTCAACAGCGATGGAACATTTTGTTCCATCGCTGTTGAGCGATGGAACAAAACGTTCAAAAATATGTTAGCACACATGATACAAGAGAACAAAAGGGATTGGGACAGGATAGTTCCCTTTTTGTTATGGGTGTATCGAGAGGTGCCGAGCGAGACCACTGGTATATCCCCGTTCGAATTGTTATATGGCAGAGCTCTGATGGGTCCTTTATCTGTCCTGAGGGGCATATGGGCAGGCAATGTTAGTCCTCCCGATAGTCTAAACACCAACATCAAGGAATATTTAGATAAATTAACCGAAAGGATTAAGGTAGTACATAATTATGCTAATAAAAGCGCAGCGTCCCAACAACAGGTCTACACAAGCCATTATAACCGGCATGCGAGACGAAAGGAATTTGCAGTAGGAGACGCTGTCCTAGTTTTAAAGTCACTCTGCAGCCGCAAAACAGATGACAGATGGGAGGGTCCGGGCGTCATAGAGGAAAAGGTACGCAACGGGAGCTACCAGGTAAAAATGCAGAACAAGGCGAAGAGATGGGTGCATGTCGATAAACTGAAGCGGTATGTACGCGAGATGCGTTCCATCGGGGTTATATTCGAAGGGGATGACGACTTTGGCAAAGTTATGGCTGCCCCAACGACATCCGGAAAGATCGAATCCCCATCGGGAGGAAAACGGGCAAACCTAGATTCATGTTCACAGTTAACCAAGAGGGAAAGGATAGAATTAAGAAATGTCCTAGAGGACTACCAGAGGCTATTCGATTCGAGACCGGGGAGAACAGCTGCCGGTTGCCATAGGATTGTCTTAAAGGAAGGATGGCAACCAAAACGCCTAATGCTGTATAGGATACCTCTGGCTTTAAAATCCAAAGTGGACCAGATAATCGATGAATTACTCGAGGCTGGGTTAATCAAAAGTAGTTCCTCGGAGTTCGCTCACCCGATTGTTTGCGTTGCAAAGAAAGAGGGGGGAATCCGGCTCTGTGTAGATTATAGACATTTAAACGCAGGCACTATAGCGGATAGATATCCTATGTCCCATCCGACAGAACTCATCTATCAGATTGCTCAGTCCCGATATATAACCTCACTAGATTTAAGTAGAGGATATTGGCAAGTGCCTCTAGATCCTAGATGTCGACACATGACCGCCTTTATAACGCACAGGGGACAATTTTCTTGGGAGGTAATGCCATTCGGGTTAAGGAACGCATCTGCCACTTTTCAACGTATCATGGACGAAGTTTTAGCCCCCCATAAGGCTTATGCGATGGCATATATTGACGACATTGCCATATTTTCCAATAATTGGCACGAACACTTGAGACACATAAGAAGCGTATTAGGTGCGTTACAAGACAATGGGTTTACCGTGAATATCGCTAAGTGTCAATTTGCACAACTGCATATCAGATACTTAGGGCATATCGTTGGGTCAGGTCATCATAACCCCGATCCTGATAGAATTGAGGCAATCACCAGGTTAGAACTACCAAAAACAAAAAAGCAAATGCGTAGTTTCTTGGGGATCTGCGGCTATTACCGAGACTATATCGAAGGTTTTGCCAACGTGACGGCACCCTTAACCAATTTATTGAATCGCCAATCCCCCAACGTCATAAATTGGGACCCCGTGGCCACCCAAGCCTTTTGTGCGATTAAAGAGAGATTAGGGAAGGTTCCATTTTTGTAAGCACCCGACCCAGAAAGGCCATATGTGTTATTTACGGATGCGTTGGAACATGCTGTTGGCGCGTGTCTAGCCCAGATGTCACCCGAGGGCAAGGAGAGACCGATAGCCTTCGCAAGCAGGAAGCTACGCGGGTCGGAACTACGTTGGGCTACGATAGAGAAGGAGGCATTTGCAGTGGTATGAGCTTTAAAAAAATTTCATTATTGGGTATATGCCATTAAGGTAATAACCGACCACAACCCTCTAAAGTATCTGACATTAAGCACGCCTCATAGTGCAAAATTGGTACGTTGGGCATTGGCGTTGCAAAATTATAATGTGGAAATCGAGCACAGGAAGGGGGAAAATCATACTAATGCTGATGCCCTATCCAGGCTGGAAGTCAGGAACAATCCGGAACCTCCAGATCAGACGAACAAGGCATATTAAATTTCGTATTAAGTCCTTCGGATAGATATAAGTGATATCTACAAAGTGATTCTGAATATAGATTAATGGAACAATTTGTCAATGATAATATTGTAATGTAAATATGTGTGTGCTAGATGTTAAGAACTTATAACGGTAAATAATTTGTTAGTATACAATAATATCTATAGTAATCTGCTCCTTGTATTATAAAAAGGGGGAAATGTATTGTAAGAACTGATTTGTGTAATGATAATTATGGTGCGTGGTGATGGTGTATGTTTAGGTCAAACAGGCTTTTGTTAAAGCGCAGTTTGAACCTTGTCGGTGGGAGATGTAAAGTAGTGACCTTTTAGCGGAGTGGGGACAAAAGAGGCGCGACCTTGTCAATTGGACCCACGTGCGGTCGGGTAATACCACTTGTAAAGTATTGANAATTAAATTAACTTTAAACTTACAACAGAAAATTCATCAGAAATTTCAAAATTTGTTTCTGTGGACACATTTGCCTCCGCCTTCTGATTCGCTTAAAATTTCTCTTTCTAAATTATTCTGAGATATTGGTGACATTTGTGTCATTTGAACACTACTTTCATCAGCTCCTTCAATTTCACGTTCCGAATCTAAAATATAAAAATTCAAAATCAAAATAAAATATCTTTATTTTAAATTTCTAAATAATAAAAACGCGATCCGTGTTTCAGTCTGTAACGACCACTTAAATTAGTAGTTTAATCATTATTAAGTTCAAAATTAAAACCTAGTTTTCTATAACATGAAAAACTGCGAAACAACCATGAATAAATTTAGCAAATAAGTAGTCAAATATTTGAAAGAATTTGCTGCTATTGAAGACATTCTTTATCTTATGTATGACGTTTTATTATTTCTATTTAGTTATGCAGGGTGCATAACTATGTATAACCACGACGGGAAATGTTGTTAGCGTGTCAAGGGTTACAACATGACATTGGTCACTGACCACTAATGTTAAAATATTAAAAAAAATTATAACATTGAGTATAAATAGTCTCTTGGTGGTCGAATTGAAAAATTAATTCTATGACATTTTACTTCCTTAATTAAATATGTAACAAAATCAAAAATCTAAATTATAGATATATTAGCAACCAGAGACAGGAAGATTGATCGAAGATCCTACAAATATGAAACACTGCTTTGATTTACTATATTTTTAAAAATAAACTTTTAATTATTTGGGTAAATTTTTCTAGCCTTTGTCAGAGAGACAATGGAAACAATTTTATTACTGTATACAGATTCTGGCTCTGCTGTGATAAAGACCATAGCATAGGTTTCAAGAATACACAGTATCTATCCTCTGTGTCAATGATCTTGTCGGAAGTTACGTGACTGTTTATGTGAATACTAATATACTTGCTTGAGATTTATATCCAACTATTTCTATTGCAATATGCAAAATATTTACCAGTAGGAAGCTCTTGCTCCAACTCTTCCGGCCCATGACCGATTACTTGACAAGGTGTACTTCCGATCATTCCAGCGGGTGACTCTCCTAAGGTACTGTATTATGTTTCGCTTAATGGACTGTTTGCTTACGAAGCAAACAGTCCATTAAGCGAAACATAATACAGTACCTTAGGAGAGCGCACACTTCTCATCAGTCCTGGAGGTGGCCCAAAAACGATCAGGTCATAAGGTGCTCCATAACTAGTTCCTTCGGGCGGAGGTGCACTTCCTATCGTTCCAGGTGGCCTATATGCTATCAGTTCACGAGGCGAAATATAATAAATTACCTTAGGAGGAAGCACACTTCCAGTGAATTCAGGAGGTGGCCCATAAACTATCACTCCATAAGGTGCTCCATAATTAATTCTTTCAGGAAAGGTACATTTCTGACCGTTCTGGGAGTTGACCCATAACTGATGTACTGAAATTTAAGCACAAAATTAATAAAAACTATTTTAAATATAACTGTAACTTTACATTTAAAAATGTTCTCGTAGACTTCAATATTGTTAAAAATTTTTACTTAATCTTTAACTGACAACAATTATTTTAAGTTAATAAAATATTCTCCAAATTGAAAATGTAGTGATGATTTTTGTTTTCAAATATTTGAGGA